CGAACTTTGTGTTCGCTGAAACACTGGGGTTTGAAGTACCGCTACATCAGTGTGTTATTCGTTCTATCCTGGGAGGAAATAATCCATAACCTTGGGTACTAGGAGGGGATTAAATTCCTTAAGGAAACACTGTGAATTCAGTGGGCTCGAATTAATTACTGTTTCATTGCGATAACTTATATTTTCCAGAATTATTATTTATAAATACAGCAATATTGGCGGGACTAACAATATCTACAACAGAGCGCTGAGAAATCCTCATGGTATAATACTAGCGACTTTGCTAACACTTCTGGAAACTAACATCAGGAAAGTTAACTAATTGAACATAGCAAATTAATGCCTTCCCACATTAAATTTACTATATAAAGACTATCCAAAAGACTTGCCATGAATACAAAATCTTGATATGTCTCCATAGCCATACAACTACTAGTTCAACTATTAGTAATTGCAACATACGATTTTATCAGAGAGCACAAACCTCCAGATGAGAGAGTATTAGGGAAGAACATGGACTAGACCAAGTAAAAATAATAAGCAAAGCCATGGCACTTAATCCATGACTTCTTCGGGTTCAAGTAACACACAGTCTTCTTCTGTGAAAACTTCAAGTATGATTCTAACATTGGGTGATGCTCGGCCGAATAGTTTCATCTCATCATCCATCATCTGAGTACTCCGATGAAAGTGATGCGCAACATTCCAAATTAAGATTTCCTCGAGTACAGGTGCTGATGCCAATATAAATCTAACAAATTCCATTTCCGTCTCAGCACCAGTAAAATAACTCATCTCCACTCTTTGAAGCAGCTTCGCAACACCACATGAGATTGATTGGGCTCGTAAGAATTCTACAACAGGTTCCACAACATTTCCCGCTGAAACCTAATGGGTTATCAAGGAATGGTTAGGTGAGTCCAAATGAGGAAACCATATTCAATAACATTAATAAGAAAAAAGCAGAGTACTTACAGTAATATCAATTGTAAGCTCTTGTAATTTGGGGCAGCTTGTAATCAAGTAAACAGCACCTGAAACCTGCTCAACGTTTCTGAAAGACATGTCCGACATTCTGAGAGATTTGATATTGTTCAGAGCAGTTGGGGGCCTCTCTGGTACACCTCCCATGATCAAGTACTAGACGCAAGTCAAAAATTCGTTTGAAATACGAATCAGATACATCATTTGGTTATGATACGTAGAAAGTTTCATTAGACTATAATTAATAGTATCACAAATGTACATTACCTCTAATGTAGAATTACATAGATCCAGTTCCTTCAGGGAAGGCATGTAATGGAAGAACTTTGTAAGATTAGAACAAACATGAGATGGATAAGGCAAGACTCGTGAAACAGAAAGATACACAGAAACGTTTTCAAGCATAGGAGCGTTCTTGAAGCAAATGGACTTTGATTCTCCTGTAAAATCAAAGAATTTGAGAGTAGGGGCATCAATTTCAAGGGTGTCAAAGTCTGTGCACCAACGCAACATTAATCTTTCAAGCGATGGGCATTTTAAGATGAAATCTTTGAATGTTGCTGGAACAAAGGTGACATGCTGAAGATCAAGACTAATAAGCTTCTCAAACCCTTCGAAACCGGGTGGAGGGTGGAACAAGCATTCACTAACTTCCAGATACCTTAGTTCCTGGAATGTAAACAAGTGAGAAGGTAAATAATATTTGTTGTCTGACCACATGTAAAGGGTGAATTCCTGGACATTTTTCTTTGACAAGAAGAGTATCCAGTGATCAATATCCGGACAACTTTTCAAGTTACGACCTCCAAGTTTAAACTTCAGTATTGGTCCTCTATGGAGTAGTAGGACTTGGTAAATGATTGCCTTGGCTTCTTGTTTTTCTTTGAAAGACTTGAAAAACTCATCACTAAAATCAAGTTCTTGACGTGTTACCCATTTGTACCTCCAGTCTTTTGACAAGATACTGGTCTTCACTGCATCTTTCAAAGGCAAGCACCCTAGAATCCCATCCACAACATTACAAGGCAAATTGCTAATTGTAACTACACCAGATCTACTAGCACTCCTCATGGTCTAGTACTGACGAGTTTGCAGGCTACCCTGAAAATTAAAATCTGGGATAGAGAAAATATCCAAATTCTCATTAGTACACATTTCAACAATGTATGCATAACTATAATAACTAGTAGTTCAACGTTTTCTACTACATAAAATTTTAGCGTTTTACCATCGGAGTTATTTTGGTAATGATGATGAAATGAGGATTCACATTGCCAATCCCAAATTGTTTGGGACTGAGTATTAGTAGCTGTCGTTGTTGTTTGTTTAGCTATATCAGAGAGACAAAATCATGATACATCAAAGAGTACCAGGAAAGAACGTAGATTGGAGATAGCAGTGGTGCATACAGGAATTTAATCAAGGAGATTAAAGAAGTGCGCTCATGCGTGTAGGGAATTCAAGATAGAAGTAAAATATACTCTAATTAATCATGTTGTTTTAGCAGATAAATGAAACTTAGAAGACCAAGAGTTACATAACATATTAGGAATACAAGCTGAAGCATCTGAAAGAGAGAGCACCCAAGGGAGATGTTAAAATTCTAAAAAGGAATACTCTCTTATGACATTTTAAGTTCTTGAAGATCGCCTACTTGCCCATTTATAGAGATAAGTCATTCTCTCGATATGAAAAAATTATATAGGTAACATAAACTAGGATATGAAACTCAATTGTGAGGAACATCCGAACAACATCTGTTCTCATCTCTAAACAGGTCAAACAAAACACACCACCGGGGAAATGAAAAGAGAAAACCTCATAGTGCGCATCCTACCAGAAATGTTTGGAGGGAGGCCAAAAAAGACCGGAAATAAGAACCAACTGACGACCCACACGACAGAGAAAGCAAATGAAAAGGAATCTGGATCTGGGAAAGTCTGGAAATAAAGGTACATGAGATCTTTGACACGGAACAATGGCCGCCTCTCGAGTGGTAAGGACTTTTCACAAACCTCCCAGCTGCTGGAACGAGCGATGGTAGGCCTATTGCAACTCAAGAGAGGGCTATTCCAAAGCCTATCAATCATCAATGTCTCAGGGATACGGAGCTGAATTACAGAAAACGGAAGATTGAAGCTGCAGTTCCAGTTGCTTCGACTGCTGGAACAAGTAATAGTAGGTCTATTGCAACACCTATTCCAAAGTCTGATAATGCCTCAAGGGAAAAAGAGTCACAATTACAGCAAACTGGGGCTGAAGCTGAAGCTGCAGCTCCAGTTGCTCCAGTGGGGAATGGATTTGGAGATCCCTCTGCATGCAGATGAATGTACTTCTAGTGTGGCTCGTATCTCATATACTCGATTGTTGGTAGAAATGGACATAAAAGGAACAGTCCCTAGCACAATTGAAGTCCAGGATCCTAATGGAGTTGACCAAGTGATCGAGTATGAATGGGTGCCAGATGGGTGCCAGAGTACTGCTCGATTAGCTTACAGGTTGGGCACAAATGTCAGAATCCCAAACCACCAGTTCCACAGCCCAAAATGAGAAATGCTAAGGGTGGAATGGAGTTGGTGAAGCAGGGCTCAAAGGAAGATGGACACAGGGAGAGAATATCTGGGCAGGAGTCTGTGCAGGGGTCTAATATAGGAGGTGATTCTCAACAGCTGCAGATAGGGGTAGACAGGGGTGTTCGTCGGTCGGAACGGTACGGTATTTAGATATTTCGGTTTGGTATTTTCGGTATTCGGTTTCTTAAAATGCTATATCAATACCGTACCTAATTAAATTCGGTATGATTCGATTTTTCTCTTTTCTTTTTCGGTTTATTCGGTTCGTTAATTTCGGTTTATTCGGTTTGAATACTAACTAGTGCATAGAGTCATAGACTGTAATATTCTTAATTAAAGCACTCAAAAGTACAAAACTAAAAACGATTGTTGACAAAAGATTTGTCCAAAACCAGCAAATATCAACCTAGAGAGAGAAAACTGTACATAAAGGAATAAATTTGATCATTAGAAATACCTCGTTACTTGCTTAGAGTTAATGGATGAACTTAGATAATAAGGGAAAGTAAAATTATAGATTTTTTAAATTTATGTTATAATTAATAATGTGTATTGTGTAATATAATATATATTTCAATACGCTATCGTTATTTCGGTATTTCATTTTAAAATACCATACCTAATACCAATTTTTTTTTAAAACTTAAACCAAATACCATACCGAATACCAAAATATCGGATACCAAATACCAAAATTTATGATTTCGGTACGGTAATTCGGTATTTACCAAATTATGCAGAGCCGTAGGCTTGCAGATTAGATCAAATGTAGGCCAGCAGGTTACACAAGGAGGGCAGGAAAGAAATTAGAGAGAGAAAAAGACTGCACAAGTTGATGCTCCAGAATTTTAGTACTGTGACTGTTACTAATGGGATCCAGTCCCCTTGCTATAAATGAGACACAGCAGGTGGATCCTACTCATTCCATCTCAGAGAAGCAAAAAGAGTTAAAGGTGCTCCTTAGAGAAAATAATGTAGTATTAGTTGCAGTTTTAGAGCATAGAGTAAATGACAACAAGGCTGGCCAGATAATAAAGAGAATTGCAACTGGATGGGAATGGTGATCCAAATATGCCTGCTGTGCTAGGGGCAGAATTTGGCTATTGTGGGAATTCACAAGGATTGACTGTAGCATTATGGAGCTGAATACTCAATATTCTACAGCAGGTTCAAGAAAAAATGAGGGATCTTGTACATTATAATGAAAAGGAACTCAGAATGCGGCTAGAGAAGTGGACACTAGTTGAGGAAAGTATTCTACACCAGAAATCAAGGGGTGCAGTGGTTGAAATTAGGGGATTCTAATTCTTCATATTTTCATGCCTGCATGAAGAATGATGCAGAACCAGGAATTGATTCAAGAGGACATTTTGAACTTCTATAAGAATGATCAACCTTGTAAACCTATAAAATGTTATAGCAAGGCGGCAAAACAAACTTAATTCTTCTGAATAGGGAAGGAAACAACAAAACAAAAATACATTTGAAAACCAAATGTCTCGTGTTTTCTTATTGACTTTGATAAACATCATATAACCAAATATGGTAAATGAAATTCTTTTGTAGCTTGTCCCAAATTTCTTGCGAATTTTCTTTGATCAAAAGATAACTTTTATTAAATAGTACCAAAAATGTACTGTAAAAGTACCAAAAACTCGTATTTAAGATGGCAAACGGTGTTGCGCGATGCGGTTGCAGGGCAAACCCGCATAAACCCGTGAAGACTTCAATCTGCGCTGCTCCGCATAGCATAATATGTTGTTTTTAACCCGCCCCGCCCCGCATAGCATAATCTGTTGTTTTCAACCCGTCCGGCCACGCCCCGCTTAAATTGTTTTAATTTTTTTCTTTTTTGAATGAATTTGATAGTAAAATATGAAACTCATAACATTCCTTTTCATTTTTCTGCTAAGTAGTATTAATTTAATTTAAAAGGTTTTTACCATCTTATAAAACACATGTTGAAGATGTTCTAAATGTTATCATTATTTAATTAAGTACATATTATTGATGAACTATGGTATCTGTGAGTGAAGCTATGATTAGGATAAGCAGCTAAATGAAGAAACCATTCTTTGATGAGACATCGAAAGGCTTTTTACAGGTTTAAGTAAATGCCAGAATTTCCAAGTAGCACTTAGCTTTGAGTTCATCTTATGCAACATTTTTTTATCCCAAGAATAGTAGCTTAGTTTGGTATACGTTCTATTTCTGGTGGAATATTGATTGTTGTTCACGTAAATTAGCATTCACATCTCAAAGCTTAGGACAAAGAAACCAAAAAAAAAAGATAATTTCGTATTATCGTGATCTTAGATTACTAGACTGTGACAAAAGACATGAACTTGCTTTTCTGGACAAATACATTCAGCAAACAAATAAAGAGCTACACAATTGCTCTGAGAAATATTTCTATTAATTTGTTGAGGTTGAAATTGAACACGGTAAGGTTTGTATTTCTATGCAAAGGAGACGAAGAAACAGTACAGTCAGGCAAAAAAAGCCAATCTTTCCAGATCATTAAGAGAACAATCAGAAATTTTAAGTTAAAAGGCGAAGGCCGAAGATAATTAGCAATAGCTTAAAAGCTCTAATTTTTGTACAAATTTAAAATCCTAACCTGCACCGGTCCCGCAATGTTTTTTTAATTTCGACCCAAACCGCATGTTTTTAAACCCGCATAGCCCCTTATGTGTCTTAACCCGCACCGCCAGCGTGACCTCCCTATTTACACTATGTTTGGATCATTATTATCTATCGTTTTATAATATATTATATTATACTATATTGTATTGTATTGTATCGTTTTATGGATATAACGTTTGAATAGATTGTATCGTTTGCTATTGTTAAATAACATTTTTGTTGTTAGTTTGACGGTATTGTACAGTACTGTAACTGATAAGTTCACTAAAATACCCGCAATTATTTTAAATAAAATTTATCAAAAATACACATAAAAAATATTTAAGAAACCCTCTTTCTACTAATTTATCATTAATTATGTAGCCTGAAAATAAAAGCAAAAATCTGGAAAAAAAAGGTTAACTAATATTAGCAACACCAAAAAAAAAATTAAAATGATGAAAAGAGACAAAGAATCGAACGGAGACTTGGATAATAAAAAGAACTGGGCAAACCAACTATAGAAAAGATGGAAGAAGACAAAGTAGGTCAATAGGTTGGAGATTTGGAGTTACAATAAAATAAAAATTAAATGATAAAATAGAATTATGGAGTAATAAGTAAGGGCATAATTAGAAAAGAAAATAGGAAACGATCTCACCACACCGTTGTTTCATAAAATGGGGCTTTTGGTTGTTCCGGAATAATATATTTAACAATACGATACAATCAATTTTAAATAACAATACAATACAATACAACGGATAACAACCATCCAAATAAGCTGTTAAGGGAGAAGGATAGACAGCGGACCTATTATCCACCGAATTTTGAACTTTCTGGCACTGGCCCTCAAGATTAAATTTTTTTAAAAATGGGAAAAATAAAAAATTAAAGAGCAAAAGTATATAATGAAATCAGGGAGTCCAGAGAATTACCAGTAGAGAGAGATCTGAAAGCTACAACTTTTCAGTGCCCTTTTTACAGTTCTTTTTCTTCATTTCTCGGTGGAGGGTACAACGCTGCCAAGTGCCATAAAATGGTGAAAGTTGGTGGCGTTTCGTATTTTTTAACTCCTCCGTTAATGCATTTAAAGAAAAGATTTGGGGAATAAATTGTTTAATTATTCTTTCCAACTACGTTATGATTAATATATAAGCGTAACTTGCACGCATTTTGTCCACGTCAGATATGCTTCAGCCACATAAACATAAGTATAGTCAAACGGTCAAATGTAGTTATTAATACTTTTTCTATCGAGTAGAAGTGTTAAAATAGAAAAATTATAAGTTTATATATCGGGATGACGAACTAGTACAAGTTTAAGTGGTCCCGAGACCGTTTTACCTAATATATAACGTTTGCAACTAATTCAGGAAAAAAAAAAAGTAATTCCACTTCTTATTGTATTACTTGACCAAACACTGTCTACTTCATGACTTTATTTTTACATTTTAATTCAAATAAACATAAAAAGCTTAATTAAGATCTCTCATAAAGGTATCAATATGTCGGGTCGGTTCAGATCGGTCCTGGAAAAAAAAAATCAGGGCGGTCTCAGTACCCGGCATATCAGACCCGGTCTTTGGGGGGGCTAAATCTGGCCCGGAAAGGGCCGATATATA